TGTTTAGAAGTAAATTAATTACATCTGAAAAGACAAATGATTACTTATTTCATGGGAAATTGAACTACATATTTATTTACACATTTTAAACACGATCAAGTACAGCAGTTTGTCAAGCCTCTACTGAGAAAGAAATGCAGAAGTATTTTAGCAAATGATGGTATGTCTCAAGGTTAGGAGGGTTTTAAAAACCATTACCATTTTAATGTCTGCAGATTACACTATTCCTGACACTAATACACTCATGTCCGGAACAATCTGAATCTAATTTATACTGTTATTTGTTACTGCCAAATAAGCACATTCAGTGGACAAGTCTGAAATTTGCCATTATAAATCCACATGAAGGATTCAGTGTCATCCTGAACTATAATTCCATTGCCATTTACCTCTTTTTATTGACCATAAACAGTACTCAATGGCCAGTCTATAAGAAAGCAAAAGAAGGCATTTGGTTGATTGATGATTTTCCCTGTTAAATAATTGTCTGCTTACTGAGATTTCAATGGGCCAAATAAGTAATACATGGGACACTTTAATCAAATAAGTAGTTCCTATCAATTTAACAGGCAATTTACATGTGATATACAATAAAGTAAAGGGAACACTTACCCTCATCTCGCCTAATAGAGACACACGTAAGACTTTCTCAGGATTAGGATGATTGTAGCTATATACTTCCTTGCTTCCCTAGTGAGAATATGGCTTTCTTGTGTTTACCTTTCCCTTTATTTTGTGCCTTAAGACTGTGCACAAAGAATCAACTGTGAACAAATCAGTTTCTTTGGGTTTTTGGTATTGACCTTGTGGACTCAAGAGCACTGCAATTAAAAGAGAAGAAGTCTTTGCTCCCTGGGTCATTAGAAGTAAGGCCAGATTTTTGATCAGCATCCAAGTCCAATATGTCATCACACATGAACAGGAGAGGTTAAAAGGGCAGATTTTTAAGCATTTAACTGTGCAACTGCTGCCTGATTTGTATAGCCATAGTTTTTACAGTTGAACACACAAATTTGGCAACTATGGTTCTTTGCAACTTTGAAATTTTGAATTATATATGCAAAGTATAAATAGTCAGATGAGTAAGTTGCTGTCCCTACAAAAGATCTATACACACATTCATAGCAGCCTGAGTTAATGCTAAAACTAGTGATATTTTCCTAATCGAAGCTAAATGAAAACGTCCGAATTCTCATGCAAAAACAAGATTTGCAATTTGAGAAGACTTTTTTTGTTTGTTCTACAAAGAGATGAGCGAATGTACTAAAAAGATCAGGTAGCATTCTCTGGTCAAATATCATAATAGCCATCATCCTTTTCATCCTTTGTAGTTTATGCAAAAACTTTGTCTTTCTAAGGATGATTTCTTTAGACATTTTAACCCATACAAAGTGTGTTTGGCATTAGTGTAGTTCTGACTCA